AGTTACACAATTATGAACCACTTCTGCTAACGAGCTCAGTGGCTAAAAATAATCTAACCTAGGACAAGTTTGTTTCAATCTCACGCCCTCTTGACTTCAGCCTTTTTTTTTGCTTTTATCATTTCTGTTTTTCTTGGCGTGTACGAAGTTTAACTGCCTATCAGAGTGATTTCATTCCTTGGCGGGCTATGCCGTCTCCATCACCAATTCAGTGGGAGAAAAAAAAGCTAAGATGGTGCGGGACACACTGCAAAAACTAGGGCGACAGATGCTCACCTATGGCCCAACACTGACCGACGGCTTGCAGTCGGCTTGGTGTGTCAAGGACCTTTCCTGATCCCTCTGACCCCAATTGAAGGGTACCGACCCAAGAAAACAACAACCCCCAAAACGTCTGCGTTCAAAGCACCATGGCTCTGTCTACCTATGCACGTTCGTCCGTACATTGGTAGCCTACCTTTGTATCGCCAGGGCCTGCTGTGGGCTGAAGCGTGTGCCCGTGCGGGGATGCAGGAGGAAGTGTCCTGGCACTGCCACCTGGAGATTCTTCATGGCCATGCAGAGCCCACTGACCAGCAGGGCTAAGCCCCCCAGGCCCAGGAACAGCCCGACCCCAAACAACGGGGCTGACTGTTGGGGCAGGCCCAAGCACAGGACTATGACCCCGCCACCGGTCATCAGCAGCATGCCCAAGCAGAACAGCATGCCCTGAGGGAGCGGCATCTCCGGAGCCCCCCTGCCCTGTGGGAATTCACCTCGTCCAGCTACAGCTGCACCTCCACCTCACCCTCAGAGGCAGCAGCCAGTCTGCAGGACAGAGAGAGGAGAGGGCTCAGGTACACTGCATCAAGACTACTACTGGGAATGTGAGTGTGTGTGTGTGTGTGTGTGTGTGTGATAACAGATAAAGGAGGAAGCGAGCAGAAGCAGAAGGAAGCTGACACCAGGAGAATAACACGGATATATGCAACACGTAAATCATCCCAGCGCGCGCGTGTGATAAACATCGATCCTCTGTGTACCTGATAGGAAGTCTTGGTGAGGAGCTGCTCAGCAGATGCGTGGCCTGAAAGCTTCACCATTTCTTTTCTCCTCTTCATCAACTTTCACTCTGCTCATCACGTCCGTGTGTCGCCCTGAAAACTGGCAGCAAACAGCTTCTTCAGTCCTGATCCTGATCCTGATCCTCCGCCGCCGCGCCTCTCTCATTCTGTGCTCCTCTGCCGCTTCGCCTTTTCTCCTCGCACAATAAGCATATCCGGGTTTGGAGAGATTACGGCACCGAAAATCTGTAGGAGAGGAGTTGGTGTCGCATGTTGGCCGGGCACTGTGTGCTTTTCATGTGGCAGCAGCAGCAGCGGATCCTCGCTGTGTGAGGAAGTGTTGTTGTATGAGGAAGGGTTTCCAGTGACGAGGAGGAATGGAGGGCAGGGCGGGCGCACGCTCTGAACATTGTCACTTTGCCTCTGTTTAGGCAAGCTGTTTGCACAAGGAGAGAGTTATAGTTCCAGTTCTGTGTGAGCCGATAAAGCCAGTTTGTTTTTGAGCTGAGGTGGAGCTCTGCTGGGGGTGGAGCAGGGGTGGGGGGGGCTGTGTGGAATATGAATAAGATGGAGAGGTTCAGTCACACATCAGTTATCATGAGTCTTTATTGGCAGCTGATCCTCCTGAGGTCCACAACAACACTTAACACTTAACAAAATATCCTGGTAAAACAACAGTTAACATAATCATGCACTTTTTCCATGACTTTATTTGTAACCGCCAGTTTGGGGCTAAATTTTGCTCTGATTACCTGATGATGCTCCTTTATTGTAATATTAGACCACATAATACTTTCACATCTGCATGTTTCCACACACATTACATGTGCACTAACTTGTTTAATCCCAAATTTTCCCAGACATCAAGCTATCATAATCATCCGTCAATGAAAACCCTTTGAAATAATCAATTAATCTTAAAATTTTCATGGAAAAGTAGGTGAAAAAGTGTGTTTTATAGTCAGTTACAAACGTGTTGTATCTGCCATCTAGTGACGATATTAACATGATCTCCAATGCAGTCATCGAAGTTCTGATATTTCCCAGGTCAGATATTAAAACATTTAAACTCAGTCACTGGCAGTCCCCAGCATTGCCACTAGAATACTCTATAATAATATATGTATACACTGATCAGCCAAAACATTAAAACCAGTGGTGGGTGAAGTGAATAACATCTATCATCTTGTTACAGTGCAGTGTTCTGCTGGGAAACCTTTGGTTCTGGCATTCATGTAAATGCTACTTGACACCCTCCACCCACCCAAACACCGTTGCAGACAAAATAACCCCCCTCATGGCAACAACATCTGTCGATGGCAGTGGCCCCCCACAAAAACTGCTCAGGAATGACCTGAGGAACGTGACAGAAAGCGCAAGGCATCGACCTGACCTCCAAATACCCCAGATCCCAACCTGATCGAATATTTGTGGGGCGTGCTGGTCTGGTACCCCAAAGGTACCCCCGATCCACAGTGGGTCTTCCTTGTACCAGAATTGTCTCTGACCTGTCAAGGCATGGACACAGGACTTCTGGAGGGTGTCCTTGGGTGCATGGCGCATTGTCCTGCTGGGGGGCCACTGTTACTGAGGAGTGCTGTTGCCATGAGGCAATATGGTCTGCACTGGTGGGGGGAGTGTGTCAGGTGGCATCCTCATGAGTGTCAGAGCCCAAGGTTTCCCAAGAGAACAATGCACTGTAAAAACACGATCAACGTTGTTCACTTCACCTGTCAGTGGTTTTAATGTGTTTGTTGACCAACCTATATATTTAGTAGTTAGATGTTTATGGTTTTTCCCATTTAAGTCTCTTTATGACATACATTGGCATACATGTATCTGGATATCGTTGTTGTAGTTAGCTCAAGTGGGAAGCCAGCAACCCAGTTTAATACATCTATAGAACTTCTACAAAAATGAACTGCTTGGCAACAAGCTCAGGTATCTAATTAAGACAGGCCTTTATTTGTCAAAATGTGTAGCAACACTGGGCAATTTTAGAGTTGTTTATGTTTACTTATCTTTCTGTATTGTCTCAGTCACGTAGGCCTAATGTCAGCCACAGTCTGAAAGCTGAAAGCAACAACTCGGGCCACGTCTGGTCGCCGACTCAACTGAGACTCACGATAAAACATGCCCCAGAATCGTGCCAAATTAAGTGTCCCAATTCCAGCTGTAGACACTGCCATCACTGTGCCATTTTCAAAAATGACTTGGCCCAGCACTGGCCTAAACTCGGCACGCTGGAGGAAATAAGTCGGGAAATATGCCAATTAAATAGCCATGCAGTGAATAGCCTACAGGTGAGTAAAATATTGCACAGAAATAAAACAGAAACACCTCACAATACATCAACTCAAACTACAGACTCACGAGTCACAGTAGAACTTAATCAACACTTCTCTGACTGTGTCAGTACTGGAGCATTATAAGACTGCACCACAATATACAATATAGTAAAAGTGTTAATGATGTATGTGTCAGTGTCCAAGAAAAGACTCATATAGAGAAGGCACACACTGAACCAGTGAATGCCACTTAATGCAGATTAGAGTTCTTATATTATAGACAGGGGAGACGACTTTTTTGTGTCTTATACTGTATGTGTTTGACTTGTATCATAAACTTTAGTATTACAGAGCTTTTTTATGTTGTTCAGCTAAACCAACACATGATAATTGGACACAGATCTCGGAAATTGAAAAGTGCTGGCTGAGAAAAAAAACAACAGCGCAGCAAGTGTTTCAGTACTTAACAGAGCACTCATCCAATGAGGTGTGAACTTACACTTGCTGTAATTTAAACCAATTCAAATTTAAAACACTACGTGCTGTCATGCACTGTCTGTCTTCTATAACCGTGAGAAAGTCCGTGCTTGTTACTGTCTCCACTTGAACTCAGCAGTGTGGCTCATTTAGTTGCTATAATCAGAGTTTACTGGCTAGTTTGCTGGATAGCTCTGTTGAAATGTTACTTGCCATATATTCAAGTATTGAATTAAAGGATAGCAGTGAGGGTGATTCTGGTTTAAATGTTGGAATCACACGATCATGCAAGAAACAGGCTGTTGATGTACTGTGTAGACGACATGCCCATCAAACAGCAAAAAAATGATCTGATTCATTTATTCCATGGTTTGTTTGTTTTATTGGTTTCACTTGTTTTTTTCCCCCTCGAGTTATGGTTTGCATGCACACTGCAAATGTGAACAAGGCCTCATTGCTTG